AGGGCCAGGAGTGTCCCAGGATCCACCTGGGAATGGGTTTGGGAGCAGAGATCCATCTGGGAATGGGCTCGGGACAAACGATTCTCTCAGGGCTGGGAGGGTCCAGGATCCCACTGGGAATGGACTCAGGATGAGGGAGGATCCAGGGATTCCTCATGGCCCTGAGTTCCTGGGATCCCGCTGGGAATGAGCCTGGGACAAGGGACTAGCCAGGGATCCCTCAGGGCCAGGAGTGTCCAGGATCTGGGATCCACCTGGGAATGGGCTCAGGACAAGAGAGGATCCAGGGATCCCTCAGGACAGCGGGATTCGTCCTGGGATTCTATTCTGGAAATGGGTTTGGGACAAGAAAAGATCCAGGGATCCCTCAGGGCCGGGAGTGTCCCAGGATCCCTTGGGATGGGGCCCTCAGCCCAGGATTCCCCTGACACTGGGAACAGGGAGGATTCCTGGATTCCCGCTGCTCCAGGGGGTCGGGAAGGGCGGGTGTCGGGGCTCTCTGGGGCCGTCATTCCCAGTCCATTCCCGGTTCATTCCCGGTTTTCCAGGACGACGCCCGGCAGCTGTTTGTGCTGGCGGGCAGTGCCGAGGAGGGGACGCTGACGGCCGAGCTCTCCGCGCTCATCCAGCGCCTCTGGAGCGATCCCGGCGTGCAGGCCTGCTTCAGCAGATCCCGGGAATACCAGCTCAACGACTCCGCCGCATAGTGAGGGATTGGGAAGGGCTGGGATCAGCTGGGATCGGGGCAGGAGGGGCCCGGGGGATACCCGGGAGGGGCTGGGCTGCCTGCAGGGAGCACGGGGGAAGGCCTGGAATGGCTGGGAATTTCAGCCTGGAATGGTTTGAGATTTAAGCCTGGAATGGTCTGGAATTTAAAACTGGGTTGGCTTGGGATTTAATCGTGGAATGGTTTGGAACTTAAGCCTGGAATGGTCTGAAATTTCATCCTGGAATGGCTTGGAATTTGAACCTGGAATGGTTTGGAATTTGAGCCTGGAATGGTTTGGAATTTGAGCCTGGAATGGCTTTGGATTTAAGCCTGGAATGGCTTGGAATTTAAGCCTGGATTGGCTTGGGATTTAAGCCTGGAATGGCTTGGAATTTAAGCCTGGAATGGTTTGGAATTTAAGCCTGGATTGGTTTAGGATTTAAGCCTGGGAGGGCGTGGAATTTAATCTTGGAATGGCTTGGAATTTCAGCCTGGAATGGCTTGGAATTTCAGCCTGGAATGGCTTGGAATTTAAGCTTGGAATAGCTTGGAATTTAAGCCTGGAATGGCTTGAGGTTTAAGCTTGGAATGGTTTGGAATTTAAACCTGGAATGGTCTGGAACTTAAGCCTGGAATGGTCTGAAATTTCATCCTGGAATGCTTTGGAATTTAAGTCTGGAACAGCTTGGGATTTAATCATGGAATGGCTTGGGATTTCAGCTTGGAATGGTTTGGAATTTCAGCCTGGAATGGTTTGGAACTTAAGCCTGGAATGGTCTGAAATTTCAGCCTGGAATGGCTAGGAATTTAAACCTTGAATGGTTTGGAATTTAAGCTTGGAATGGTGTGGAATTTAAGCCTGGAATGGCTGGGGTGGGAACAGCAATTCCAGATCCATTTCCAGAGATGCCTTCCACTATCCCAGGTTGCTCCAAGTTTATCCAGCTTGCCCTTGGGCACTTCCAGGGATGGGGCATCCCTTGGGAAATCCATTCCCAGATCACAGAATGATCCAGAGCAGGCTGGGATTGGGTGGGAGGATGGTGGGAGGCACAGGGATCCCCCCCGGCACAGGGATTCCCACCTGGCACAGGGATCCCTCCCTGGAACAAATCCCAGCCTGGCACAGGGATCCATCCCAGCCTGGCACAGATCCCAACCTGGCACAGCTCCACATCCCTCCCCCCAGCTCAGCTCCCCCCGGATCCATCCCAAATCCCGGCGTTCCCAAGTCCCGGCATTCCCCTTGTCTGTGTGTGGGGAGGGACTGGAGCAGCTCCTGTGCAGTTGATCCCAGATTCCTGGCACTGAGGCCGATCCTGATCCCAGATTCCTGGCTCTGAAGCCAGTCCTGATCCCAGATTCCTGGCGCTAAAACCAATCCCAGATTCCCAGTGCTGAAGCCAATCCCGGTTCCAGATTCCTGGCGCTAAAGCTGCTCCCAGATGCCCAGCGCTGAAGCTGATCTCAGTCCCCAATTCCCAGTGCTAAAGCTGATCCTGATCCCAGATTCCCGGCACTGAAGCCGATCCCAATCTCAGATTCCCGGTGCTGAAGCCGATCCCAGATTCCTGGCACTAAAGTTTATCCCAATCCCAGATTCCCAGCGCTGAAGCCAATCCCAATCCCGGCACTAAAACCCATCCCGATCCCAGATTCCTGGTGCTGAAGCCAATCCCAATCTCAGATTCCCAGCGCTGAGGTTGATCCCGATCCCAGATTCCCAGCACTAAATCCAATCCCGATCCCAGATTCCCAGCACTAAATCCAGTCTGATCCCAGATTCCCAGCACTGAAGCTGATCCCAGATTCCCAGCACTAAATCCAATCCGATCCCAGATTCCCAGCATGAAATCCAATCCCAGATTCCCAGCACTAAATCCAATCCAATCCCAGATTCCCAGCACTGAAGCTGATCCCAGATTCCCAGCACTAAATCCAATCCAATCCCAGATTCCCAGCACTAAATCCGATCCTGATCCCAGATTCCCAGCACTAAATCCGATCCCGATCCCAGATTCCCAGCACTAAATCCAATCCCGATCCCAGATTCCCAGCACTGAACCCATCCCTGTTTTCCCGTCCCAGTTACCTGAACGACCTGGAGCGCATCTCCCAGCACAGCTACATCCCCACCCAGCAGGACGTGCTCCGGACCAGGGTGAAAACCACGGGAATCGTGGAGACTCACTTCACCTTCAAGGACCTGTACTTCAAGTGAGTGGCATTCCTTGGATCCCACAGGGCTGGGAAATCCTGGGAAAATCCCTGATCCTGGTTTAATGTCCTTCCCTGGGGGGAAAACCACGGGAATTGGAGCTGGATTTCCAGGGGGTGACAGTCCCAACCATTCCCAAAGACAGTCCTGGTCCTTCCCTGTGTCCCAGAGGGCTGGGAAATCCCTGGATAGTCCCTGATCCTGGTTAAACTGTCCTTCCCTGGGGAGAAAACCGCGGGAATTGTGGAGACTCGTTTCACCTTCAAGGACCTGGATTTCCAGAGAGGGACAATCCCAGCCCAGAGTGGTGGGAGATCCCTGGATAGTCCCTGATCCTGGTTTCATGTCCTTCCCTGGGG